TTAGAAACACACCCACAAGTATTAAATTATCCAAGGTTTAAAATGAAGAAATCTATTCATACCAGTAAGTTGAGCATTCACCTTCCTAAGAAGTACATGCATCTATGCGTATGACCACAGATTTAACGCTTGCACCTAAGAAAATACCGGCACAAGTGGTCTTATGGTGCTAACCACCTTAAAATTACCGACCAATAAGAGATTAGACCAATCATTTAAAGGCTTTTTACTGTAAACCAATCTTGCTCATAAACTTCAAAAAACGCCACAAAAATTGCTCATTACAAGTTTTCTCTAGCATTACAGTAGGTAAAATTTGTTCCGAGGAAGAAATAAAAGTGCTCCACAAAACATTTATACCAATGCGTCAAAGATGGTAAAGGCCAAGGCAAGAATCAAGCAACTCTTTTCATGTGGCTTCAAAGATCTTGGACGGTCAAACCTGTGAAGTAACAAATACTTAGTAGTAAGTTTCATAGCCTCAAGTGTAGCCAAACCAAAACGTTCATCTATATATTGAGCATGTCTATTTACAGCACAAAATATTATTAAAGATTGTTATACGAAATATTAATCACGGGTAACCTCCAAGCATCAATATTAATGATTCTGATCATTTTTCATACTTTTAAAAGGAAAGCGAACCAAGGAAACCTGTCAAACTAGGCAAAGATGAGTTATAGATCTTTCCAGGACTGTTACATAGTAGGAAACTGTGTACAAGATGCATGATCTCGCGTAACAAGCTTGATGGTAGGTGGGGAATTGAACCATCACTTGTCAACAAAAGTCTCTCGACACGATGGATGGGAAATATCAGACGAAATGCACGCATTTAGAATCCTAACTACATCCCAAACCCCAAATGCTTACAATATTCCTAAAAATATGTATATATTGGCCGGTTAGCATCATGTTGGTTATACTCTAAATACAGTTTTTGTCATACACTTATAGAGACATCACAATCCACACGCATGAAATTAATAAACTCCTCTTGCTCATCAATTGCAAACAGCAATTGCCAGTTGAAGACGGACATTTTGTCATTCAGATGGAAAAAGTGGGACAACACTGCTTCTCGCTTGCTCCCCTAAACATGCTACAGATCTAGGCCTGTCCATCCGGGCCGGGCTCCGGCCCGGCCCGGTTTTTATTTGTTTTTAAATTTTTTATTTTTTTTTGAATTTTTTAAGAATACAAAGCAAAATATAAACACAATTTTGATAAAAAATTATATTATTAATCAATTGTATTTATGTAATTTACAAATATAAAAAATTATAGAAATTAAAATAATATAAAATATTTATATAATTTGTAGAAACAAATAAAATTAAAAATAGTTGTAGAATTCAAAGAGCCCCAAGGCCCAATCAAAGACTTCTAAATATATATGTTGTGGCTAGGATTTAAACCACTAATCTCCTTTCCAAACTCCTAAATTTTACTACTAGACTAAGTAACCCAAAGTATTCATATCATTCAATATATGTATATGTATATACATATATACACACACATATACATATATTATACATAAACAAATTGTAAATACTTATAGAAATTACATAAAGAAATTGTATTATATATGTATACACACACACACACACATAAACTTATATATACTTATATAACTGTAATTCTATAATATACACATATAAGTATATTTATATAAGAGTATAAATATATATACTTATATACTAAGAGAGAGTATAAATATATATATACATATATTATACATATATAAGAGAGAATATACTTATATAAGAGAGAGTATACATTGTATACTTATATATACTTATACATATATTATATATATATAAGAGAAAGTATACATATATATAATTATATACTAAGAGAGAGAGTATATAATATATATATATATATATATATATATATATATATATATATATATATATATTATATATATATATAATATAATTATATATATATATATATATATATATGAGAAAAATGGAGAAACTTGGTACAAGTGCTCAAGCACTTAGTAGTGATGTGGTCTAATGTTGTCCCAAATCTACATTGGAGTTGGTGAAGGGTGGTTGAGGCTCTATCTTCGCGGTGTGATGTAGGGGCAAGATTTAGGCCACATCACTACCAAGTTGCTTAAGCAACTTGGTATCAAGGTTCTCCATTTCTCTCTCTCTCTCTGCTCTCTCTCTCTCTCTCTATATATATATATATATATATATATTATATATATATATATATATATATATATATATATATATATATATATATATCATATATATCATATATATATATATATATATATATATATATATTTAACATACATATATTGTATATATACATATATTACATATATATATATATTATACATATAAAAATAAAAAAATAAAAAAGTTACTATTCTATGCCAGGCCGGGCCCGAGCCGACGAAATGACGAAACGACGAAATGACGAAGCGATGAAACGACGAAAATGACAAGGCTCGAAATTAGGGTTTTGCATACCTAAATTATTGTTGTTATTCTAATATTTTATAAATGAAACATAGGAATTAGTATGGTCGGAGCTGAAAATAAGAAAATAGAAAAAACAATTCGTGAAGAAAGTCCAATCCAGTTCTAGTGATGTAGTGAGAGGGCCGACTTCACCTTTTATTCCAACTTCAAACTCATAGCGAAATTATCTCACGCTCTCTCACTCGATAAATTAAATATGCTCCACGAGAAAAAAAATCGAGGACTTGAAGGTAAGAAAAATAATTTGCAAGCTTTTCTACTATTTACGTTTGCCTTGTCGTTAACGTGGATCTGTGTGATTTAGGGGCGAAAAATCACTCGTCGTCAGATGCTTAATCTTGCAAGGAAGACAGTAAATGAGGACGATTTGCTTATTTCCGTCATCAAACATTATAATAATAAAGAGAGTATGATTCGAATTTTAACCATTACCTGTTTGTATAATCTTGGAGGAATTTGCTAGTTACGTACCTACAGTGGCGTAACCAGTATTATTTTTTGCCATGGACGAAAAATAAAGATGGTCTACGAATATGTTCACATAGCTGTTCTCGGCGGCGGATTCGACCTTCTGTTGCTTGATGGAATGTACAGCCAGCCTCCTAACGGGGCGACGATGGGATTTTTGGATGGCGCAAGAAGTGCGAACAGTGTTGCGTTGCCGAAGGCCACACCGATGTTGGCACTGCCAACGCCTCCGAGAGCAAGCGGAGGAGGGGAGGTTGCAGGCGGATACTTGTTTACAGCATCGGTATGGCCTTTGGCCAGCTGCCCAGGGCAAGCCTTGAGTAGCTACGCCACTGCGCACCTATGCACAAATATTATTATTATTTTTCATTTTTATTTTTCTGCACATCTATACACAGATTATTGATAGTAAAATATTTGTTATTTAAAATGTTTTATTTATATTAGTTTGGGATTATCTACTTTACCTTCCTTCATGCTCAAGGATAGCGTTTAAGATGGGACATTTATTCCAAAATTTAAAGAAATATTTTCATAACAACAAGTAATTATAGTTTTTTCTTTTCTCTATTATTTGTGCGGCAGGTTGGAACTAACCTGGATAATGAAAACCAACGTCAAGAATGGCGAGTGAGACGTGATTGGAAAGGAATAAATAAATGTACCTGTTGAGTAATAGTAAAAGAAAAAATTTGCATTTATTTTCTGTGTTACGCTAGTCTAAAGGACATTCTTACAGTGTTACCAGAAATTGAGTTGGTGCCAAGTAAGTCAATCAGGTCCAAAAACATACAAAAGTAGTGACTTTTTATTCATTGATTATCCATCCTTACAAGATAAAAAAGCGACACAAAGAAAATTAACACTAAATTATTAAGCACCCTAGCATCCGTAGACACCCTGCATCAACAGCGAACAAAAAAAAAATCAGAAAAATGACAAAAAATCAACAAAAAGGACATTAAAAAGAAAAGAACTTACGGCAACAGATCGATCGATGGATCTTCTAATCACTGTCGCTGCTGCTCCTCCCATCGTGATGCTTCCCGTCCTCATCGTGCTTCTTCTTCTTCTTCTCCTCCTTCTTCTACTCTCTGTCGTACTTCTTCTCGTCGCCGTGGACCTTGTCCTTGATCTTGTCCATCACGCTGCCGCCTTCACCATGCTTCTTGATATCCTCGTGCTTCTTCTCGTCGTCGTGGATCTTGTCCTTGATCTTGTCCATCACGCCTCCGCCTTCACCATGCTTCTTGATCTCCTCGTGCTTCTTCTCCTCGACTTTGTGGTGCTTTTCTTCCTCTTTCTTGTGGTCGACTCCTCCTCCCATTCCCAATCTCCTCGATCTTGTGAATGATTCCTGTCATTTCTTGTTTTTTTATTTTACTTGTATTTAGACCCGTGCAAAGCACGAATATTAATATGTATTCTGTAAATATTGAACATGTTACTAAAATTAAGTATTATTCTATAAATAAATTTAATATTCTGTTATAAATTAAGTATAGTGGTTTATTAACTATAGTTGTTTATAACTATTTTGTTATTATTTGTTTATATATTAGATCAAGTTTAAATCGATAGTTCATTTAGTTTAGTCAAATAATTTTTAATTTGTTTATATATTAGATCAAGTTTAAATCGATAGTTCATTTAGTTTAGTCAAATAATTTTTATTATTTGATTTATAAATGAATAGAATTTAACCCGATAGTTCATTTAGTTTAGTCAAATAATTTTTATTATTTGATTTATAAATGAATAGAATTTAACCTAAGATATGTTTGATTCAGTAGTTTATTAAATATTTAATTTGATAAAGTTTTTAATATAATTTAACCAAATATATGTTAGAAAGTTCATTAACTGTGTGATTCGGTAGTCCTATTAATAGAACTTATTGCAAATATTTCTTATGTAAATATTTATTTACAAATGATACCCATGGTACCCAATATAAATAGGGTTTTTTACATTTCTCATTTCCTTTTATCGGTTG